AAGTTTCGTTCAGGTCTCGTTCTCCTGCGCCAAAGCAGGACACGAGAGATGCAAGAGAGTTCAGACGTGGTGTTTCACCTACTCGCGAGGGTGTGTACCAAGGCGTGTGCAGAGTCCGTAGAACGAAGAATTCGCTCTGCACGAGACCACGATACCGGTGCAAGGAGGTATCTATTTGCTTGTGCAATAGTGAACGTATAGCGGATGTCAAACCGCGGCGCGCACGTATCGCACACCCCTGCACCAACCATGCGCCGCGTGTGTGCATGCATATCTGTATCGAGCGCCGCGCCGGTTGACAACTCGCGTGCTTACGCGCGGCTTTCGTGAACCCACCGAGAGCGCTAATTTGCAAACAGGAAGTGGAAAGTCCGCCGCCGCCGCCGCCGCCGCCGCCGCCGCGAGTCTGTCCGCGTTATAGACGAGCCGAGTTTCAACCGGTAATTACGGACAGCCGATGGGATCGATGTTTCTCCGATTGCATTTACCAGAGCAGCGACTTTTTTTGCACCGCGAAACGCGCACGGGGTTCGTTCGGTTTTAATGGATGTAAACGGTGTTGTAGCGAGTTTAACTTCTTAGTTGTGGTGCTGCTTTTAAAAGTGTGCATCTACATTGTGTCGCTGGAACGACTCGTCCAATACAGATTATAAAATTGAATTGAATTATAATAAAATTCAAATATTTTATTGTTTAACTTATTAAATTAAATCTCCTCGCGCATTAAATCTCCAAGCGATCATAGCAAGAGAATATTTAGGAATGATGTAGAAAGTCTAGTCTAAAAATATTCTGAAATGTCAAAAATTTACTTTTATTTTCCGTAAATAATATAATTGCCAAAAAATTGCCATTTCTTCGTACATTAGTCAACTAAGAGATTAATAGCAAAGAGAAAACAGTATAGACTTCAGTTATAGTAAGTTCAGGTTACACTTGGCCGATCAGAGCCTATACACCGCGTGTGATCTGGCATTATCCTGCACGGCAGAATCTATACTATTGCAAAATTAATCTCGGTTGGCGGTTGTTGTCGACGAGTCGAACACTTGGCTTCATTATCCGGGAGTCGCTAATTAACCGAAGACTCCGTGAGAAACGATCCTTCGACGAAAGACGAGAGGGGGCGATTTCGTAATTCTCGTTTCGTCGCTGTTCGTTGAACGCCGCGCGCCCACACGACGCGTGAACGCACGCGCGGGATCCAGCGCGTGTCAATGCTGTCGAGAAGGCCGGAGGCGCCTCCGGCAGATCGAAGGATAGCGAAAAAAAAATGAGCACAATGGGATAATATTTCACGGGTGCGGATCACGATCGACCTTGGCTGGACCGATCGAACAAGATCGACGGATCGATCTCGCACACGGTGCACGTTGCTGCACGGTGTTACAAAGAGTCGACCGTGCTAACACCTCTACGGCTGGTTAACGTTTTCGCTGTGTTTACAAATGTCGAAACAAATGAACCGGGGCACCCGGCTGGATTCATTGTTATAAACTGACTCGAGCGAAATCCCATCCATTTCCACGGACCAGATGTACGCACTCGACCCGGATTTTCATACGCGTCACGAGCTGTAAAGTTTCACTTCCACGCGGCCACTTGTTCGCGATTTGTTTAATTTATTCGTTCCAATTTGTACGAGACAGGTTCGTTAAAATTTTTGAAATGAAAGGAGAGAAGGAAAATTTCGTTCATCGTTCGAGTTACAAATTATGAGGTGAGAGCACTGGCTCTAAGCAGGTTATGTTTTTTCGAGGAACATCGTGTAGATAAAAGAATAGCTTTTCCTACATTTAGTTTCACAGATTGATACAAATAATGAAATGTTACATAAAATGTTAAGGGTCTACATTTTTTTAACCAGGTTGTATAAACTTTCTAGTGTGAATAATTCGATTGTTCTTTACTTTTTACTCCACTAATCGTTGATTTTCTGACATCACGTTTTCTAATTGTAAATTTGTTGTTACGCATACGCGTTTAACTGATGATACAACCCTTTTCGTTTTGATGACATTATTATGATATTATGATTCAAATATACATACCATATTGAAATATTGCAAGGAGATCTTGTTTTGGTGGTTCAATGTTTTTCATAGGAAATAAAATATTATACAGTAAATGTTGTATAGAATGAATATTTCGCAATTTTTGCATATATTTTTTTATTTGTTTCAAACTTGATCAATATAATCACGATAGTGTCGAATCTTTAAGTAAAACGTAATGCACGAAATATATTCATAAAAGATTCCTTAAAAAAAATACTTTCGTGTGCGACTGTAGAATAAATTGTCACATCAGACGCGATTGAACCAACGAAAGGAAGGACTACAATCCTCCGGAATACCAGTGTTACGAAACAACGCGCCAGTACCAAAGAAATTAAAAAAAAAAAATAAAAAAAACAAGAAAGAAAAAAAGAAGAAACAAAGAGAAAACTGCAGAGAATTCCAGCATGTGTAGTAAACGGCAACAGTGTAATTTCGCCTCTGAAAAACAATCGACGATTTGCCTGGATCTGGGATGGTAAATCGCCGGTGCGAGGTGTTACGTCGTGACACGGTCGAAAAACGTCGCTTCGTTAGTCCGAAATTCGAGCGTAAATCTCGGGAATGCGGCGGCGGCGGCGGCGTTTTTCTGTTTAACGAGTCGTCCTTGTGCGCGAAAACAGATCCCATCGGTAGGCTGTATATCTTCCCAACAATACCGACCGCTCGGTTGCGTTTTTCCTTTCCTTTTCTTTTTTTTTATTTTTTTTTTTCCTTACGTCGACGAATTAAAACGCCTCCGTTTGTTTCGATGTTTACGCCATACGCGCCAGCAGTTAAGGTACTATAGAAAGCGCCTTCATAACTTGGTACGCTAATTCCAAGACGAAACGGAGAAGAGGGAGAAAAAAAAAAGAAAAAAAAAACAGGACGCATTCCAGTGGTTGGCTCTCGATCGTTGCACGTTTCCGAGGCAACTGCGGCGATTGTACAAAGAAATTGAGAAAACGATGCGATGGATCAACCAATGGTGGGCTGGAATCTTTAATTACGTTAGCTCTGGATCGATGGTGACGATAAGGTTAAATCGACTCGTCAACCTCGAATTTCGCAGCCTTCGCGAAGAAAAGACACCAGTTTCTTACTTCCCACTCCTCGCAGCCAAATTTCTCGCAAACTCGGTGTATACCGGTGTACGTCTTCAATTCGAACAAAGCGGTAGAGAATCCGGCGTGTTCGAAAAATGCAACGCGATAGGTTAAAGCGGCGATATCGGCGGGGGCATCGAAAGTCTTCGCGGTGAGAACAGAAGACACAGCAAGGACTACGTCCGCCGGAGGCAAGGTAATCCAAATTCCGCAACCTTGCGAACAGTGTCGAGGATTGCCGTCGAGCGACGATAAGCAAGCGACGGTGTCGTTCGATGTCGGCGTGAGAGAGCAGAAAATCGCATTATCCCGCTCGCGTATCTTCCGGCCGAGACATCCTCCGCTGTGTATCTCGCAACAGGCCCATTTACTTTATCGGATCGGTAGACCCTGAACGATATTCTCCTCGTTCGTTTCTTCTTTTTTCCTTCTCCCCTACCCCCCTCCCCGTGTCTGCTGCCGCTATTCGCCGAATTTCTTTTCTCTTTTCTTCTTCCGGGCGCGTATAAATATTCGCAAGGTTGCGGCGCCGATTAATTCTGGACCGAGGACACTCGCGGATGTGCGTAAAAAGCGCTCGCGGATCCCGTTTCACCGTAGAAAAAAAAAAAAAGAGAGTCGCTCCGAGAGACGAGCGGTGGATTAATCATTTCGCGGCTTACAACTTCGTGCGTTTCTTCACCTCTCACCTTCGAGAGCCGCGCGTCGCATCCGTAAAAAGCTGGATCAACAGGCGCGATAACGTACCTGATATATAACTCGTCCTGAAACTTCTTTTTTTCGGACAGAAAAACGAACTCCAAAGCTGGCCGATTAATTTCGTTCTCTTTTTTTTTCTCCCGTATCCGAGAAACCGCTTCCACGCGATTATTCATCGTAATCTTCCTTCTTTTTTTGGGAGGGGGAGGGGGGGGAGGCTTGAAACAATCGCCAAATTTGTCCACGATTTGTGCGGCGACGTCGAGGGATAGTTCGAGGAACGCGAGTCAAGGGCGAGAATGATCGAGAAGATTTACATGGACGTTCTTCGAGCCGTTTCTCATCCACGGCCAAATGACCGCCGTCGATATTCATAACTTTCCGTTTCCGGATCGGCGAGACGTTAAGTTAATTGGACGATTCCATTTCGCGACGATCGTCGAAGAACAAATCGCCTTCTTTCGTTTCGAGGAGGTAACAGCCTCGGCGAGCCTTCCACTCGACTTGTTCCACCTCGATTTTTCATCAACGGTTGCGCAACGATTCGCGGCAAATCGATCGGAGCCGAGAGCCAGTACACTCCTAATTTATTCTGTACGCTCTGTACAGACGGAAACGCGAAACCGGAGTGATTTCATTAACGCGGCAGCGACGTTTTATCGCTGGCCAGTTATGAAAACCAGACGATTCTCACAGGTTCGACGATAAGTGGCGAATTGCGCAGCTGTGGAATGGCCGTGCCGTGATTGCGAAATCTCGGTGTCGTGGTGCCGCGACCTTTGCACGCGACACCGTACTCGCGTAATCGTATCAAGGAACGGGTTTCCGGTCTTTGACAGGAATAGGGCAAAGTCCTCGTCACTGTAAACATCAACCTGTTCTCTCGCGCCGATCTTGCTCGACTTTTTAACAGTGAAATACAGTTAACGGTGTAACTGAGTTAGTAACTACAATACAGATTTCACGTAGATCATTTCCCGTTGTTGTTAATGTTTTTTATATGTCTGCTGGGGTAAAATAAATAAAATTTTTTTCCAAGTTCCAATTTTATATGTGTAAGCATATATATCTAATTTTTTTGCCCACATCAGGAACTGTTGGCATATATGATCTCAATGTATAAGATTGACGGAACAATGTATCAAAAATATATTTTTTATAGCCTAATTCCTGATTGTATTACTATTAGTAAAAATTATTACATTTTCGAAAAAAAATTGATCTCGAAGGGGTAAGAAAAATTTTAAATAGTTAATACTACCAGACATCACATATGTGACGGAAATTGCACTTCAATTTTTGATAAAAGTTATTTATTTTTATCGAAGATGTTTATAGTAGAGGAGTCCTATAATTGCAAACTCCAGCCTGGTTTGATATTAAAATACATTTTTCTTAGTTATTTTAACTGTTTAATATTCACTATCGCGAAAATACAATTGTAGGCTAATTTTACTTTCAATCGATCTTATTTTATTTTTCTTTTCAACATAAAATTTACCAGAATACATAAAGATACAGAATATATAAAGTAATAAATTTCTGTCCCAATTTATGTTTCACAAAATATCAAAGTAAGAAATAAAATGTCATCTATCTCTTATAAACTAAAACTAATATTCCAGTTCCAAATACATTTTTGTCTTACTTCTTCATTATTTGAAAAATTTTTATTACTTGCGTCACGCATGTATATACGACGCATGGTCCTTAATGAAAAAATAGTCTAGTGTCACATATACGTATATAGAAACTATTCCAATCATCTATTTAGCATTTATTTATTGATATATGTGTATGTGTGTAAAATCATGAAAATTGGGCTATGGAATGCAATTTTTTCTTTAAACATGTTAAACAATTTTTCAAGATAGCAAATATTTCTTTTTTGCCTGTAAGAAAGCCTGAGAAATATTCCGTGTGGTACGAGTAAGGTCATTGTATCGGTATTGGACTATTGCATTGAATGGACAATAGAATGCATATTGTATACCAGTGCACATGTATAAAACTATCTTACTACATGTACATCTATAAAGATATATTACAATTTAATAACAATTAATCACAAGGAGAAATATGTCACTTTTTTTTTTACCAATTGGAATACTGAGTTGGATAAAATCAGCACGCAACATCGATATATATATATCGACGTGGCCCATAAAGACACCCAATCTCTATAGAAATTTTTGAAATGAAAATCTGAAAATGAGATCTCTATCGATCCTTGAATAATTAAAGACAATTCAACAGCAATAGAATAAAATTTATGTGTCGAAGCCTCGTATAAATTACGCACGTATGTATTAAAAACATTCAAAGGATCATAAATATTAGTACGAAATGCACTATGCAAAATTAAGTCAATAAATAACAAAAAATACACATATTCACACGACATTAAAGTGTTATTTATATTAGTTTCAATTATCCAAAAAATGCTTCTACTACATTCATTCTATGCTTATTATATCTTAATATTACCACATATTAGAGGAAGAACCGTGTAATTAGCGATTCAGTTACGCTCTTCGCTAAAAACAGTAACGTACAATTCCTATCCTGCTGATTTCTAGCCGTTCGTTTAAAACTTATAAACAATACTTCGAGATAGATCGATCGAAAATCAAGAGGCAGCGATTATCTAGCAATGGAATCCGGAATAAAAGCAAGACCTCACCGGGCGCGGCGCCGAGCGTCCATTTTTTTTTTTTCCCCCTCCCGTGCTGGTATGGATTTCTCAAGCGCGCTCCACCGACAAAAGAAACGGATCGGTAGAGGGAGGATCGATAAGCCGATCGATTATAATCGAGCTGGTTGCAAAAACCGCGGCCGTGTGTATCGGTAATTGCATCGTGCGCCGCTTGTCGACGCTTATCGTGGTTCTCTCTCCTTGGCATAAACGCACGTACGAGGGCGTTGCAGGTTTTCTCTGACTGAGTGAAACAGTCGTTCAGGCTTCACTCCAGTGAAGCTAGCTACAGAACCGGCGTGTTCGTCTGGAAAAAAAAGGATCTGCGCGCCGGTGATCGGGTAAACGTGAGCGCGAGAGAAAAATGACTTATTGACGAACTTATTCTTCTCGATCTCTTCCTCGGTAGAAGTCACTTGACCGTTGATTGAAACTCGTTTGTAACGAGTATTTAGCTACGAATGACGCGCAAGTGGGCGTAATTGTTATTAATGCCGCGCGCAGCTACGTTCTCCAAACAACGCCTGCGCGAGAACTCTTATCGCGGGAGATCGGTAATGGATGCCCGCGCTGACAGCGAATGGAAGACCGGTTGCTGACCAATTAAACAGGTCCAAGGATCCAGAAGAAAAGCAAGTAGCCAGATCCGGGCGAATGATTTACGATCTGCTCGTCTCTTCTTCTTCCAGGCATTGATGTCTCCGGGCCTCTCGCGTACCGCTGATTGAGCTCTCCAATTCCGGGCTTCGGAGCTTGCCTCGTTCTTCGCGCAGGACTTCGCTCCTGCGAACGTTAATCGTCGACGAGCTTCTCGACGTTACGTCTGAGATTCGAGGAGACTCGACTTTCTCGAACGAACGTTCGGAAGATCTCGTTTCGGAGAAACCATTAGAGTCAAGTTCGAACACTGCTTGTGAGCGGACACGACGCTCGGTGAATTCGAAATGTGTGTGTCGGTTAACGAATAATCGTGGTAGCGGAACTTTCTATCAGGAACGGCGACATTAGGCTCGTCCTCGGAAGAAAAAAGGAACGAGGAGACCAAGGAGCGCGCCGCCACTTTCCTTGCTAGTGAAACTGAGAAGAAGCAAAAAGGAGGAGGAAGCGCGGAATTAATCGTAGCCAGGCCAGCGCGCGATTAACGAGCA